CAGAGGTTGAAACAAGAATTAAAGAGAAAAAAACAAGAAAACAGTTTACTTTTAGTTCTAAAACGCTAAGCAATACCAAGAAGTTTTTGCTGACAGCTAAAAGAGGCCAATTCACCCTACATTTCGCTCACAGAAAAAAAGAAAACTTTTAGTTCTAAAACGCTGAGCAATGCCAAGAAGTTTTTGCTGACAGCTAAAAGAGGCCAATTCACAGAAAAAAATAAAAAAATTCAATCTTCAATTCAGTGGTTTAGTCATCATAATTATTGTCAAAGAAATTACGGCAAAGTTTTAAAAGTTTTTGAAAGCCTAAAATAACCTCCAGGAGTGTGGTGCGGTGTGAACATCTCGGTGCTTTCACGCACACAATCCCACAACACACACACATACATACTCATGGCATTTTCACATTAATATAGCAGGCTAAATAATATATAACGTATATATATATATATTTATATAATATAATATGTATATAACATGACTGATCCTGTGAGCAGCGAGAGACGACATGTTGGGAAATGTGTCTGATGAATGAAAATCTTCTCATACAAATGGTACGCAAAGTGCAAAAGTACAGACAGAAACAGTTGTACACCTTACCGTGAGGAAAAACAGAATGTATTGACAACAAAGGAGAAATCTAGAGAAGAAAGTCAAAACACTTATTTTCTTACTCACAAAAAGTTGTGGTCAATGACGAAAAAGGAGAGGAAAAAAGAAAGTAAGCCAATACCTCCATCAACATTTCTTTTTCTTCTTCTCTTTCTCATCTTCCATTTCCAAACACTTTCATCATCTGTTTCTTGCTCAGCTTAGACTAGAGCTGGAAACTTGAACAAATGACAAAAGATCTGAGTGTAAGGCTAAAAAAACAACACAAATCAAGAAGTTTTTCAGTTTTTCTAGTAGTAGTAGATAAGAAAAAAACTGCTGTAGAACGCGATGTGAGATACAAGAAACAAAAGAAATATAATACAGGGCCACCAATGTTGAGGATGAGAAATGAAGAAACACAACACTCTTCATCCTTGATGACGATGAACAGAGAGAGACAACGCACTTCATCATCAAAGACAATGAACACGCTGGGACACAACATACTTATGAATACAGAAAAACAACACACACACATATCATCGATGACTATAAGCACACAGAGACAACACACGTCATCGTCAATGACAGCAACTACCACACACACACACACACACACACACGCACACACGCACACGCACACGCACACGCACACGCACACGCACACACACACACACAAAGAGACAAGCCATTACAGCAGGGGGCGCCGCCACAACAGAACCACCAGTGAACAGACACCTGAGGTACAGTACAACAAGTTGGGCTCGTGCCCGACACACAGAGGCTGAACACAGCCCCAGCGGGACATGAAGCAGACTCCGACACACAGAGGCTGAACACAGCCCCAGCGGGACATGAAGCAGACTCCACATTCACCAGACAAAAGCTCATCTGAGACAAGGATAAATTATGGGCCACCACATGGCACAGCTTCCAGCACTATGTACAAAGAACTATATACAGACTCTGGTACAACAAAATTTACCTTATTTTATCTTGTTCATCTCTTCATTCATATAAAATTCTACATAAAAGTGCAATGTCTTAGCCAAAAAGAAAGGGAAGGGGGAGGTGGGAGAAGAGAGAACATGCAAAATGTCCCACAAAGCAGACAAGCAAACATTGGAGTCATTACTCACACTCTCAACATGTGATCTTCATCTTGTCAATGCCTTATAAATCCACATAAAAAAACATTGCAGAGAATCTCATTGAGGTTATAGAAAAACAAAAAAATAGACTTACGTCTTTCTTCGGTAAACATCATAGCATTATACAACATGTGAGACTAACTGGAGTCGAACAGATAATCTTATCAGAAAGACGGAACACAAAAAGCCTTATGAGATACTTTTGTCATGAAAATCGATGGGATGATGTAATGTCTTTATGGCGAATCTTGTCCACAAAACGGTGAGGACAACATGATGGTGCCTTATACAGTCTGGGAGAGGAAAAAATAGCATTTATCATTGCAAGTTTAACAGGCGATTTATTACAGTAAATGCAACGAATATATTCCTTTACATGGTAAAAATGCTCAGTGTTAAGAACTTCATCAGCTGGGACTCTGCAACTATTGTCAAAGTAAATAAAAAATGGTATTATTATTATTATTATTATTATTATCATTATTATTATTATTATTATTATTATTATATTATAGATTCTTCTATGTCTCAATACAGCAGATCACACATTAATTACTTTGGAATTTGTCATGAACATTTATGTAATGTAAATGCCATTTGGACAGTAGAAATTCTACACTGCAGATTGTAATATTGTAATGTAATCACTTAACTAGGCTTGAGAAACAAGAAGATAACCATCGAGGCCAAGATTGGACCTTTATAAAGGGGAGGGAAAACTTTGAAGATTGACACATTGGTACTCTCTCAGAACTGAGGAACAAAAATCTACATATGTGAGGCAGCGTGGTGGAATCAGGCTCTCGTCAATTTTTGGGCAATGGTTATCATCTTAAAGCTTGTTCACTTGTCTTTATTTGGATGAAAAAAATATCCATTTATCTAGAATACAAGTCGAGATATTTGCGAATGAAGGAGGTGGGGGTCACCTGTTGTCAGAGGTAAAATTACAGAGAAAATGGCTGCCAAAGATTAATTATTTCCTTAGCTTAAGAGTCCGTGGTAACTGAAAATTAACATTTTTTGTGCCTTTAATCAACGTTTTTCAGAAAAATTTACACAGAAATGAGTTCTTCAATGGGCACAAAAGGTGTTGAGCCAAAAAACAAAAATTCCATTAAAATTCACAAACCTGCGGAAAAATGCAAGTTTCTTCATTTTGATTATTTTGACGAGAGCCTGATTCCTCCACGCTGCCTCACATATATATATAAATAAACAATTTACTCACTTTAAAAAAATATGTAGTAGTATAATTAAGGAATGGGAGCTTATTATCATCTTACACTCCGCAACTTCAAAGAAAACTTCCGAAAAATAGCACCAGCTGAAGAGAAAAGGAGCAGAAACACAGAGACCTGAAAATTTCGTCTCATCCTCAGTTCACAAACCAAGAGTCAAAAATGCAATCAGGGAGAGCAAAATCTATTTTTTGGTCTCTGAGTGCATAAGTTTCTCTAATCTTAAGTTTGCTCGACACATGGGGCATATTCGTTTCCAAATTAATCCGTTTGCACAAAATCAGACTTAGTAACTAAAGATCTTTAAAAAAGAAAAGTTGTCCCTTTAGGTCGTTAAATGAACATTTCTATCTCCAATTGACTTGTAGCATTCATGGCAATTATAGCCTAATAATGTTGAATAAGAAGTCAAATCAAATCCAATTATTGGTCTTCTGACATTGCAGCATTCTGAGCTTAGAACTTGATCAGCCCGAGTGACATTATAAAATTTTCAGGTCTGGCAAATCACATCCAATGTTTCTGCATTAAATTTATTTGTCATAATTTTTTTCCACCAAAAATTCTTTTCTTCAGACAGGGAGAGAAATGACGAACATGCTCGTTTAAACAGAAACCAAATAGGATACATATCGTACAGTGATCCGTCAAACTATCATTAGGCCACAGAGCTCTAGGCTGTACAGTAAAAGTGGTTCTAGCCTTTTCATTTGTTGCTAAAATCAGACAAAGCGGTATCCCATGTAAGACGTTCTATGTAAAGGCTCATAGAGAGAGTACTACACACTACACACTATATGAGAGAGTTGACCGGCAGAGAAGAGAGAAGACAACACCGTAGTGCTGGGCGGCTAGGTTCCCGATTTTTAATAAAAGCTAGGAATCGTAGGAATTGACTCCAATCCCAATTACTCACTTCCTAAGGATGTGATTTCTTCCAATGGTTACCTGGTTGGCTCCGAACATCTTCGGGAGTTAGGATAACCTTGATTTTGGAACACGAGGAAGCATCGATTTTTATTTTTCAAAAATACATTTTGAAAAAAAAAAAGAGAAAACATTTGAATAATTAAGGTAGCTGGTAACCGTTGGTTTGCGTAAAAAGGAATCGGAACTTTTCTTCCGTAGCATTAATCGTGGGAATCGGTTCCGGATTCAATTCTTCGCCCAGCTCTACAACACAGTACACACTATATGACAGAGTTGACTCACAGAGAAGACAACACACTACACACTATATGAGAGAGTTGACCCACAAAGAAGACTACAAACTACATGAATGAGCTGACTCACCACCCAGCTGCTACAGCTCATGTCACATTAGAGGAAATAGAAGACAGTCTAGGAACAAAGAATCTAGCACGTCCCTGTGACACAAACTTACTATGCTTGAACTTTTTAGGGGTTTTAGAAACTTAAAAAATTTTTTTGTCAGAATTTAACTTCTTGTGTACATGAAAACATATTCATGTTTAAAGCTTCTCCCCCCCCCCCTCCCCTCTCTCTGTCTCTGTCTCTGTCTCTGTCTCTGTCTCTTCTCTGTCTCTTTCTCTCTCTCTCTCTTCTCTCTCTCTCTCTCTCTCTCTCTCTCTTTCTCTCTCTCTCACACACACACACACACACAAACACACACACACACACACAAACACACAGCGACAAGAATGCCTTGTGGAGAGAAATGCTGTAGTTTGGCAGGGAACACACACAGGCCGGGGTCACCCTCTTAAGCAAGCAGCAACTTCATAGATAGAGATATTCACAAGTATTGTATTTATATATTTATAATGGTTATCTTCAACTGTAAACAAAATACTTCCCATCTGCGACAAACACAAAAACACTTACATAAAACCAAGCAGGTGAGAAAATGGGATGGAAAAGATAACAAGAATGTAAAAGAATGAAGACTGATGTTTCCCAATGTCAAGGCTACAGAAGCTTCCCAATGTCAAGGTTACAATTCTATCATTTCTCAAATACGTACAGGACAGCTTGACAAACTTGTCTCATATTTCTTCTTTTTTTTTTTTCAAAGAAATAATCCAACAAAATTGTGAAATTACATCACAATGCTGTTCTTTTCTGTCTGTCCTGTTTATCCATTTTTTTTCTCTCCGAATGAGAACACTGGCAATTTCAGATTCTTTCATCTATTTTTTTTTATGTTCTCAAATAACTACCTTCTAATATGTCGTTAGAAATCTGAGACTGTGGTCAAATCTTGATAACTTCAAGAAAAGATTACTCAAGTTTTCAACTTCAGTGAGTTCCATACTGTGAACAAAGAACTTTGCCTGTAATCTCAATCACAGGAGATGATTCCAGAAGGTTTCCTGTTCCCCGTCAACTCTCTTCATCTCTTACATTCCCATTTATCTTTCCCGTGGAGAACCCCCCCCCCCCCCCCCCCCAGTAAATTATGATAATATAAAACTACAAACTGATTAAAGACAGAAAAAATGAACAATAACCTGAACTACGGTTGAACTTTCTAAAAGATGAGAAGAAAAACGACAAAGATAAAGTGTGCACTATTCTTCCATGAATCTTTCATACAAATGACTGAAATGAGCCTGTCAGTCATAACATAATACAAATACATAATTATTTGCTATCTTACAAGCAAATATTCTCCATTAACTCAATGTAAAATGATGGAACACGACAATCAAAGCTCATAAAAATAACGTTAATTGAGAAAAAGTATGACTTTTGTTACCAAAGTGGAAAATATGTAAGTCTACTAAAAAAATTATCTGTCTCACAAAATACGTCCAATTGAGGTAAGGTCAGCTTAATCGATGTTTATTTTTAGAATGTGCCAGTCTCGTGCCAGGCACGTCGCAAGTGAAATAGTCGTCAGTAAGAGAACGGCGTAGCATAACCAACAACACTCTCACTCAGTATCAAACAAGAACGTCGTGACGTACACACCACTCCCCATCAGCAGTCCTCCCAGGGAGGGACAGTTGCTTGTACGTACGCCTCAAGCCTGTCATCTCTTCAGATCAGTTCAGAGAAAAAGAATCCGAGTAAACTCACGGCTACCGTCATGCTACGAGTGTCAAATTATGGGACAAGAGTGTGTGAGCACACCTATATATGACTCAGTGGCTACTGTGGCTGGTGGCTACAGTTTGGCACATGATAGTGGCTATAGGAATTTGACAATATGTAAGAGCTTCCTGCAGTTTGCAAGTCTTTACAGGCAGAAAACCGTGTCAAGAAATATACAAGGAATTAGATCTGAAACATGCTCCAGATGACAGACACCGGCTATTCAGACAGCTTCTCAACTTTGTGTATGTATCATTGCATGCTACAGAAGAAAGCAAAATATCTTCCTAACAATTATCATTGCAATAATCATGTGATATTATCATAATGATTATCATCATGGCAATTGTAGCATATCTTCATCCTCACAATCATCATTCTTATCATCATTATGATCAAAGTCACCAACATAAGTACCATCTAATCAACATCACCTTCAACTTTAACAAAATATTGATACTCCATTCACCAGCTTGAACTCTGGCACATAATGTCTTGTGGAAGAGTACGTCCTTTTCAACGCAGGCTGTGTATGGGGATCCATCTGTAAGGAAAGCACTCGACACATCCATAGATCCAACGTTGTGTACAACAGGCACCGGAACATGTGCCCGGCGACTGGACATAGCCTTTTGTCCACTTCTGTAGTAGTAGTACAGGGTTTTATGGCGCTCGCAACTGCATAAGGTCATATGAGCGCGCTCCACTTCTGTAACAACACAGTACGGGGCAGGTCTGTGAGACCAAACTTCTGTGTTTGTTGCAAGACCCAGTGAAGCTTTCTGAGCACGGAGTACTCACGAGTGTCTGGACAATGGCAATTTCTCTCTATCAGTTAAGACCACTCCATCCTTTATTGAGAAAGTCTTCGGACCACTCCATCCTTTATTGAGAAAGTCTTCGTAGGTTCTTTCACAAAATTATAGACATTTCAGAAAGATTTCCTTCTGAATTGCGTACAAATACCAAACAGAAGTTGGCATTAAGAAGCAACACACTGAAAGAATGAAGCAAGAGAGCACAGCGGGACTCGTTAGCGGCAGTCTTAAAGCTTTCCAAAGCGAAGCGTAGCAAGTGCAATACTCAGGCTACTAGCATTTTCAAGGTCAGTCACCACTTGGAACACCGTACGAAACAACAACTGAAGTTGACGATCCATGGCTTTTGAAAAATGGCAGATGGTTCTATCTTTTTTTCCTTTTGTCTTTCCACTTGCTTTCTCCATCTCTCACTCTCTCTCTCTCTCTCTCTCTCTCTGTCTCTCTCTGTCTCTCTCTGTCTCTCTCTCTGTGTCTCTCTCTCTCTCTCCCTCTCCCTCTCCCTCTCTCTCTTTTTCATCCCTTCCCTGTTCACTCTCGTCCTCTCAAGCTAACGTAACAAAAGGTTAGGTTTCAGCCACCACACAAAGATATACTGCAGCTATGAGGCAGTCAGACAGAAGTAACAACTTTCTAACATTGTCTTTGTAGGAGTGAGTGTCATTGTCTGTGTCAGCCACAAGTTGTGTCATCATCTGTGTCCATCACCTGATGTGACATCTCCTTTAAAAAAACAAAACAACTCAGACAGGAGCCGGAGAAAATAAATCCGTCGTAACAATCAGACCCATTGAGGCATCTTTGTCCAGGCCAAGGAAAAACAAATTTCCATACAAGAAAACATAGAAAGTGAAGGAGCAACACATTTAGAAAATGAACGAGGAAATACAAAGTGTTCTATACCAACCAGACTACCGTAATGCTTTTTAGCCTCGCGTATTTTACTTTTCAGTGTTCATCAAACATCATGTAGAAATCAGCAAAAGTTTCCCAAAAGGACAAAAACATTCACATCAGCTGTCGTAGTTCAGAGACCATGACGCTGTCATCTCCACATGGGAAACAAGGTCATGAAGACGTCAGCCGCGATATCAATGATTGTCCATCAACCACTTCACAGAGTTCTTAACCCCTGTCATCTTCATCTATCCACCTCGTCAGATAGTGTGAGTCCATCAGTGCGTCTACACAATTTCTAGAGCACCTGACCACACACAGTCATCACTGGGTCTACGCAATATCTAGAACGTCTCACCCTACACACAATCTATATCTATTTCTCTCTCTCTCTCTCTCTCCGCAGTCTATCAGCAGATAGGGACCGTAATCTGGCCCAGCTTCTCCTCGGCGGGGTTGTAGCCCATGTTCTTTCTCTGCAGGAACATGTGGATCTCCCTGAAGGTGGGGCGCACGCTCTCCTGCCTGTTCCAGCACTCACACATCAGGTCGTAGATCTCCTTGGGGCAGTTCACGGGCATGGGCAGCACGGTCTGGAGGTTGTCGTCACGGTAACAGTGTCCGGCGTTCTCGATGACTTGTTCGTCGGTCAGTGCCAGGAAGGGTTGTTCTCTCGCAAAGGTCAGGACTTCCCACAAGGTCACGGCAAATGACCAGACGTCGCTCTTGGTGGTGAATTTACCCTGGAGAAAAAGTCAGAGAATTAAGACACGCCGATACTGCTGTCCCAAGCGAGAGCAAAATAATGGGGCAAAATCAAATTTTTAAAAATTTTATTGGTTTGTAACACTATCAGTATTATTACCCTTACTCTTCTTGTGTCAAAGGCAGGATGACAAATCTACCTCCGAAATAGTAGTTTTCAAAATGGTAAAGCTACGTAATTGATTGGTCTCAGTAGTGAGCATCAAAAGTGTTTTCCTGCTTTCTCAAAAACAAACAAACAAACAAACAAACAAAAAAACAAACACCGCGGCCCATCACACGACAGAAGCGTCCTGAACCCCCCAAGGTTACTGACCAGTAGAATGCTCTCCCAGGCCATCCAGCGGATGGGCAGCACGGCGCGGCCCTCGATGCGGTAGTAGTCGGAGGTGTACAGGCTGCGGCTCATGCCAAAGTCCGAGATCTTGATGAGGAAGTGATGGCCAACCAGGCAGTTGCGTGTGGCCAGGTCCCGATGAACCATGTTCAGCGACTCCAGGTACTTCATGCCCGAGGAAATCTGGGAGGCTATGTAGATCAGGCAGCCGTAGCTGGGCACACGCAGAGGGAGAGAAGGAAGAGAAAGTCAGGAGATGAACAAAGTTGGAACAACGGCAATTTTATCATATTATTATCTTGAAAGGTAAGAGAGTGAGAGAAGGAAGAGAAGGTAATGAGATGAACAAAGTTGGAACCGCGGCAATTTGATCTTATGTGTACCTGAGAGTTTTGATCTAATGTGTACCTGAGAGTATTGATCTAATGTGTACCAGACAGTTTTAAATCTAATGTGTACCAGACAGTTTTTAATCTAATGTGCACCAGACAGTTTTTAATCTAATGTGTACCAGACAGTTTTTAATCTAATGTGTACCTGAGAGTTTAGATCTAATGTGTACCTGAGAGTTTTAGCGTTGGTGGCTTGAGCGACGGGGCTCTCGGGCTCATGGTCGATGAGGAACTGGTTGAGGTCGCCGTACTTCATGTACTCCACCACCATGCACAGCGGCTCCTCCTGGGTACACACGCCCAGCACACGCACGATGTTCAGGTCCTTCAGCTGAGACATGATCTTGATCTCCTTGTGGAAGTCAGCTCTGTGTGGGGGGGAGGGGAGGGATCGAGGAGGGGGGAGGGTAAGGGGGAGGGTAGGGGAGGGTAGGGGGGAGGGTAGAGGGGAGGGTAGGGGGGAGGGTAGGGGGGAGGGTAGGGGGGAGGAGCCCCCCAGAGGGGGGGGGGGGTGTTTGAGAAAATGAGGATAAAAAGGAGGGAAGGTGGAGAGAAGGTGGAGAGGAGGAGGGGCGGGGGAGGAAAAAAGTTGGAATCATAAATGATCAAATTATTTTTGTGGATGGCTAACGGATATCCCGTGAGAACAGCTGTATTGATCATGATAAGTAACTGATGACGAAACAAAGCCAAACAATTTAAGATTTCAGATTACTGGAAAACGTGTAGTCTACATAACGAAATATCTGTACAGCAAATATATTTTCAGGTCCTGATTTATTACTGTTACATAAAAATACGCTTCGTATAATATGTAGCTTATATCGCAAAATTCAAATATAACAAAAAGATTCCCACGTCCTGTCTGTTTTTCTAGGCGCATGCCAGATTGTATATTTGTTATAGCCGTCAAATATCCTGAAAATAAACTCCTAACATGCAGGAAGGAATAAGCAACGAACGAAAGCAACGAACGGCTGATAGGTGACTAGCTTGACCACAGCCGTACTTCATACTACTAACATAAGTAGAAGCAAAATCAAAGGCTTTTAAAACTGGTTTCCAAAATCCTCAATCCAAATTTCACAAACCGTGATCATTATAATTCAGCCCTGACACCCGAGACTCTTCTCACATAACCAAATCACAGGGATTCAAAACGGGCGTAAAATTCAACAACTTAGACCCTGGTCTGGGGGGCTCTCGTGGTGGAGGGATTATGGCGTTCGCCTCTCATTCAAAAGGTACCAGGTTCGAATCCGGACATTGACGGAAAATTTTCTTCTCTAAAATTATCTCCTTTCACTTCCTTTCCTGTTCTCTCTAAACATGTTCTGTTGTCTGCTTTCGTATCCACTTTCTGCCCCAACCCCCTCATCTACTTTGCCCCCTCCTCTGGGCTCCTGACTCTTTCAGCAGCCTTTCTACGGCTGCTCCTTGGCTTCTTTTTACTGCTGACTTTCAGCCACACCCCTGATCTTATGATAGGTAAGAAATAACACCTAGCCTTCTTCGATAAGGGCGAAATATCTCAGAGGTCGCGTGTGCAAGTTGTGCATGTTTACGATCCCTTGGTGGTCCAAAATTGATAAGAGTAGGCTTCGGCCGCCACCCAGGCACAATTCAAAATTAATTCCTATCAAAACTAAATATTATGTTTAATGTGTTCCACACACTCACATGACCTTATGCAGTTACGAAAGCAAAAATAACACTTAACAAAAAAAAATATATTAAAAAAAT